TAATAGCTTAGGATCAGAATGTTTGTGTTCTTTCTGAAGATGAACTTAGAAATGTATACAATAGTAGTGAGAAAATCTTTCAACGTCTTGAAAAATTCACTGAACAGCAAAGAAACAGACATTGGTTGTTATCTGTACAAGTCGTTTTGAATAAGTGCTAAGAACGACTACAAGTAGTTATTTTTTATAGCGTATAATTCTCTACTAAATGTGATATCGAAATAAAATTATGAACATTTTCTTAAAATCTATTTTAATAGAAGAAGAATTTTCGTTAAAAACTCGATTTTTTAAAAACGACGATGAAAGTTTTGATATTTTTTATCGAAATATGAAATAGGACATTTTGTAGAACACAATGTGCTCTACATTCTAATATAAACCAAAGTTTCAATTCTCAACGGAAAATTTTTAAAAATGAATATAAAATTTTTGAACTTATTTTTAGAAAGAGCACGAAATTTCAGTGCTTACTTATTACTTTTCATTTGTCTAGAATGCTTTCAAGTGGATCACAAAAAGAAGAAAAATTTTGTCAGAAAAACTTTCGGCATACTTGTTATATGTGTTTTATTTTCCTATCTGTTGTTTTGTAAATAGTATTGTAATTTTAATTAAATATTTTCTTTAATAAAGTATTTAACTATTCAAAAAAAAAAAAAAAAGCTAATTTTTTCATAGAAAATTTTTTGTTTAGAAAAATAAGAAAAATCAAAAAAGAAAAAGAAACTATGAAAATAAATATTTGATGGTAATGGTGATATATGAGCGATGAATGCAGATGATATTCGTTTTTTATCTTATTATTTAATTCCAAAAGATTGGACTATTCATTTAATTGATCGAAGAACAGATGAAAAACAACTTGAAGTAATCAAATATTTCAATAAAAATTTTTAATTAGAATTTATTCGTTTTCATTTAGCAAATACAACGAATTATTGAAAATGCTCAATTATTAGCATTTGATACTGGTCAGTAAACTTTTTTGGTTTTTATTAATTAGATAAATAGTTAATATATATATATTTTAGAAACAATGCCTAGCTTTTATCATTCAAATTATCAACGAAATCAAAATTATAAATGGCAAAATGGTAATTGGGATTTATTACCAAGCCAAACTCCACAATATTCATGTAGTAAGTGTGACAAAATTCTCTTTCAAAAAGATATATAGCAGAGATGTCCATCGTGATAGCGGCAAGTTTTTAGTTGCGATGAATATCTTTGATATATAGATGTTCTTGATTCACATGTTGAATATAATATCAAATAGATTTAAAAATTTTTATATTTATTTTTGTTTTTTGTTCTAACAAAAATTTTAGTAAGTAAACCATCACTTCTTCAAGTTGCTGTACGTAGTCAAAATCGTAATGGTAAAAATGTTCTTCTTTTTGATCTTCAAGAATTATTTGATCAAACAAATATTCATTTTCGTAAATGTAATACAAGTATTTATATTCATAATTTAATACAATTAATATTTAATCATACAAATGCATATAAAATTTCTCAATCATTATTAAATGATTTAGCACAATTAAAATGTTCATATGATGAAGAATGTTTTCATACATCAAAACTTCATCATTGTATCGAATTATCAGATATTTATCGTAAAGTTTTTCCAAATGAAAAAGATCAACAAATTTATAGTCTACAACGTATGACAGCAATGACACTTCATTGTCAATTAGATAAAAAACAACAATGTGCTAATTGGTCAAAACGACCATTAACACAATCATTAAAAGATTATGCTGCTATGGATGTTATTGTTATGATTGATATTTATGAACGATTAAAAACTAGAATTCAACAAGAATTAAACAATCAAGATAATGAAACATTAACATGGTTAGTTTCTAAGAACCTGAACGATAAGCATGAGGGAAGTTCAGTACAAAAAAAAATGAAGATAGATATGACGTCTATTGAAAAATCAATCAATGCATATGGATGTTAGTCTTCTCTTCATTCCCATGCATACCCACACTAGAGTCCATCGGACCCAGACTTTTCTGATCCGGACTCTACCAGATCCGGGGTAGTGGCGTAACTAAGAGTAGGCTAGGCCGGACAGCGTCGTATCACCACCGATTGAAGGGCACTACGCTACCACCTACAATCTCCTGGTTATTTCGACAGTCCAAGACCAACTCGATGAACTCTAACCCATAGCCGCACTCTTTACATTCACTTTTTCTTTCTATGCTGAACTTTCCCCGTACTTATCATTCATCAATCTTCTATTTATTAATTAAAATAGAAGAAAAAAAAACCCCGATTAATTAATATTTCTTATTTTCTTTTATTCGTTTTTTAGGGAAGAGTTTCAAAATTCTATTGAAATATCAATTGATTTAAGTCAAATTGTTCTCTATCAATGTATATGTGGTGAACGATTTATTACAAATAAAACTCGTAATAAACATGCTCGAACATGTATTCAAGAACAACAACGAATTGAACAAGCGACTATAAATGAAAAACATTCTCGTAAAATAAAGACTAAAAAAATCATAATTAATAATAATGATTTAATAAAAACTGAAATACCTATTGTATCAACTTTACCAAAACTTGATTTGAATGCATCACCTCCATGTGGTCGTGGATATATTCCACCAGCACTTAAACGTGCATATCAATCAATGAATCAAATATCATTATATGAAGAAGTTCGATGTTCATCAGCATTTGATGAATTTAATCAATTAAATGAAAATCGTCCACCTGATGCTCAATATTTTCTTGAAGATGATGATACAGAAGTTGCACAAGCATTTGGTCTTGAAATAATGAATATATCTTCAAAACCAAAACGATTAACTCAAATTAATCAAAATCAATCAAATGTATCATTAATACCTGTATCAAAACAAAATCTTAAAATAGCTGCTTATCCACCAAAAAATCAATCTCGTATGTTTCAAAAATTAAAACAAAATTCTATGATTTTTTTTTTCGTTTTTTGTTCTATAATAGTATCTCTCAATATTCAAAAAAAATTATTCGATGAAAATGATTTACTCGATCGTTTAAAAGATGATTTTGATAGTCAACCTGATTTTCACTGTCATCTTTTTGGTTTAGGTGGTCGAGGTCGATCATCATCAATGTATTTATCTCCACCAGAACCGTTTCTTAATAAACGAAATTATTATACTTAATTGCAATAGTTCAGATATTGTTATACAAAAACAAAAAACAAAATTAACATTGACGTATTGTTTTGTTATAGGTTAACTCAATTATATTATTTTATATGTTATTTCTTCGCCTATTTCATTGTTCGGTGAAAGATTTTTTTCTAAACATGTATGATTTCATTTTCGATTTCTTTGTAATCGATGTTGATTGCATTCCATAAATATCTCAAATGAACATCTTATTGTATCAATTATAGATTACTATAAATAAGTTATCTAAATGATATTGAATAAGAGCATAATTCATTTTGAAAATAATCAATACATTTATACTAGACATTATTAGTCATTTTCTTCTAAACTACCAGTCAAAAAACTGTTAGTGCAATTCATATGAAATTAAAATGTGAAACATAATATAGCTGCTATTGCTAATCACAGGAAGATTGTTTTATTCGTTCCATTTTGTGACACATTTCTTCTCAAGAAATGCAATAAAAAGGTAGTTCATATATTGTAACGAGATATTCTTGATATACTATCTGTGATCATATATTAACAGCATCTGTCACGCTTGTGAGGGTACAGGTGGATACAAATTTCTATTCCTATACTTCAACATTTGTTGTAAATCATGTTTCCCAAGATATAAGATCAACGTGTTTGTCATTTTCTTCTACAATACAAAGCATTTAATTGAGATCTAAATAGTGCTTTGAAACGTCAATGAAGTTCTCTATCAAATGTATTTCACAACAGAAATTTCATAGATAGACTATGAGAGGAACATTTGTAAAAAACCAAAGACAGTAGTTTTCAGGTCTCATACTTTAAAAACCAGTTTTTCAGGATACTATCTTAATGAACAGAACATCTTGAATAAAAATAGGACTTCCCAGATTTCCTACGACTTTTTCTTAAAAAGTTATAAGCATTAAAAAAAAATGAAAAAAATACGGTTTTAGTCGATTTTTAGCAATGCTATAATACATTTTGCATTTTTTTGTAATGCTTATAGCTTTGTAAGAGAAGATCGTAGAAAATGCGGTAAGCTTTCATTTTCGTCAGAATTTTGTGCTCTTTAAGTTGATACACTCTAAAATTAATATTTTCGTTATGCAATGTATTTAATAGAGAACTTCATTGGCTATTCAAAGCATTATTTGGACTTTAGTTAAATGCTTGGTATCGTAGAAAAAAAAACGTGCCTTACCATATAGCTATTATACTGTTCTTGACTACTACAGAAGAATTTTGAAATTTTCAATAACTGTCTTCCTTTTCGTGACTATATAAAATGATTTGCTGATATCGGTATTTGAATCTGCTGAATCATCTAATCAACATACTATTTTAATTTCAATAAAAGATGTCGGAATCAATATCAACAATGTACCAATCACCAAACAATTAAGTAATCATGCTATATGTTTGTGGATATACTGATTAAGAAAATAAGGCATCGGAAAAGTTATTGTTATTTTCTTGAATGATGAAACGAGAGTTTTACAAAACCAAAAAAAACAAATGGTCAGTTTTCTTCTTCTTTTTTACAGTTCACATGACTAATTATGCTTTAAAACTTCACATGCATCGCATTGTATCGAAATACGTCATTGAATTTAACATACAGCACCTTCAGATTCGACCAATCACATTTATGAATTCAGGAATAACAATTGAAAAAGAAGCATCATAAAAGCAGTTCTATTTATATATTGAATGTTTTTAATCAACACAAAAAAAAAGCAATAAAAGACATATTGTATGCAAACATAGTTAAAAAACAATCAACCATTTTCTTTTTTTTCTCACATTTAATCTTAAAATACAGCAAATAATATGCATCGTCATAAAAAAAATAACCCTTATAAAAACTATATTTTACTAATTCCATCAAGTTCAAAATCTTCACGAAATACTCATAATTCATTTCCTGATCCTCGCTTACATATTCAAAAAAGTTCTTATTCAAATATAACACCGATTTCTACATATTCTATACCACGTATTCAACATCAATATCAACCATCAACAACAGTTTCTAATTTTGTTGAACCAATATTAGTAGTTGGCAATCAAAAATCTTCTAAACATCATCAATCTTTTGTGTCTTATCTTCCATCAATATATAAACCATCAAATCTAAATCGACAATCATCAATCAATGATGAACGTCTTGCTACAACTAGTGTTATGCGTGAACGTCTATTAAAAGATATTCAACAAAATATCAGTGAAATTGATCAAGAATTATCTTTATTAAAAAGACGACCTTCAATTTCACATTATGTTTCACCTCATCTTTCGCCTATAGTAGATGTACGACAAACATCAAGTCATAATAAGATTCTTTTACCTAATGATGAAAACCAAACTTGGCCAAATAAACCTAAAAGAATTTATCAAGTTATTCCACATATAACAAGTGAAACAAAAATAACATCACAACAATCAACACCAACATTACCTGAAAAAATTACTTCAAATTCAGTTATTGGACAATATCATTATGCACCAGAAATACAACAAATTCAAATTCATGAAAATGATCCTGAAAATTCTGATCTTAAATCAACATTTAATGAAATATCTCGATTCAATTTTCATGAAACATTTTCTCTCAATCAAGTTCATGGTCAACAATCTGATTTACCAAAAAATCGTGCATTAATTTTAGTTCCACAATATGTTGATAATTATGACATTAGAACTAATGAATCAACAGAAGATCTTCATCAAAATAATCCAATCGATACAAATTTTGCTCGATCATCATCTGTCAAATCACTTCATGATTTAACATCGTCTAGTAAATTAAATATTAAAGATTTTCAATCACTTATTCAAACTGCACCTGAATCTAAACAACTTCAAATTTCATCTGAAAACGTTCTTAATTCTCATGAATCATTCAATAAAACAGAACCAAAATTAAATAATACAATACTTTCTAAACCTATTAAACATTCTCATCTATCAATAAAAACACAAGAAATACCTTCTTCCTCTTCACTACCAATGAGAACTTCACAAAATCATACTGATTTTAACATGAATTATTTTTTCGGTGATGTTGGAAACGAATGTGAAGGTGAAGAAGATCTTATATCAATTGATCCTTATCGTTTTGCTCTACCAATTGAATCAGAAATCATTTCTGATGATAATAGAAGTCATACTTTTACCAAACAACTTCAAGCATTACAACAACGACAAACCAGTGAATTTAATACTCAGTATGTTAAAGAAACAGAAAAGAAAAAAATCGATGCAACGATGAAACACATTGTTACGCCGATGTCAACAACAACATCATCATCATCAAAGAAAATCCTTCCGATTTCAATTTATGACGATACAACAACTCAATCTACTAGAAATAACAATAATAATAACGAAGATCAACGATAAATATAAAGATTATCTTTAAACATGAATAAAAACGAATAATCATCAAAAAGAAAAGAATAGATTAAATAATTAATCAATCGATCTTTAATTGACAGCAGAATGAAATAATTAATAAATAAAAGAGAAATTTGTCACTTCTACGAATAAAACTTCAAAAAGAAAAAAGATTCTCTCGTTTCGAACAATTGATTCTAATTATTAATCATAGAGTAATGTCTTCACCTACAATAATAATAGTAAATAGATAAACTCATTTTAAATTCACAATAATCGTCTTTTTCACGTTGTCCGGCAAAAAATAATGAAAAACATCAATCATCAAATGTTCATTCTCGACATTAATCAATTACTCATGCTGATTTGAGTAGAACATTAGATAATGAATCTGAACATTTTTATTGATAAAAAATAACAAGTAATCATTGAATTATCTCGTCGTTCAATAGATACTTTGGTAACTCCAAATCCATTTTATTCATGTGATTTTTAACAATGCTCAATCATTGATATCAAAAGTAACAATAATTTGAAAGAAAGAACTCAATTAATTCAATCGATTCAAATATTCATTTTATAATGATTGATATTATCCATTTTCAAGATCTAATTAGTATTAATAACAAAGATAGGTCATCTTCAGATACTCTCTAGATAATAATCAGTTAGAGAATGTGTAATATTTAATCTATGAATAAATATTCAACTATTGAAAGAATCAATGTTTTTCATCTATCATATCACCATTCAAATCATAAATAAGAACAACTGGTCTATTTAAATTCTTAATACTCTTCATTTCATAACCGACACTATCTTTTCACAACATATAAACATAAGAAACAAGAAAATGATGGATTACAATTAATTTTACCATTACTGACAGATAAAATTAAACATTAATATTAACATTCATCAATAAAATCTGAATAGAATGACTTACGTTTACCATTTTTCTCTCCTCATTATAGTGAATTACCTTATATGAATCTAACACTTGTCGAATGAGAAGATAGTTTCCGACAACTAAAGTCTTGTGATCATGATAATAATCATTGTCAAATTACATGTATAACAATGTATTACACCATCAGTAAGAAATTTTTCATTGCTTCATTTTCTTGTCGAATACAATACAAAAAAAATTATAGTTTGTGAAGGCATTTCTCTGATCAAAAATGAATAAAAAGTTTTTTTTTTTCATTGTATCCATCTTTCACACAAGGTCCATTAATCGATCTTATATAAAGGATGGATACGAAGAAATGGTTCACTGGGTTTATTTTAATCAAGGAAATATTGTTACTTTCTTAACCCATCAGAAATACGTTTCAAATATTTAAATATAATTGTGCAGATTCTTTTTTTTTTGAATAATTTTGTGATTCTTATAGTTATATGGATGTCGAGTAATGTCAGACAATAACGTGAGATAATAAGAATGAATAGATGCAAAGGACGTATTTGAATGAGTCATTTTTTATATATTACAGAACGAAAAAAATCCAGCTGCAACTCTATGTTCGCTAATGGGATTTTTTCGACGCAAAAAATAGGAGAAAGTATCATTACTTTTTCTTTCTTCACTTTTAGTCATCATAATATTATTAATGGATGAAAAAAGGTAAAAAAGAATGTTTTATATTCATGAATACTGAAAGGAAGTCAATCATCAAGGATGTTCACGTAAAACAAAATAGAGAGAAAGGATCAGATGCATCTACACATCCAGAAACTTATTACGACTTTTTTAAGGCGTTTTTTACAAAAAATTTCAAGTGAAATTGATGTTAATGAGCATTTTCAAAAGAGCAACCACTCCATAATTCTATAATGCATCATCTACGAATAAATTACATCTGTAAGTCGTTTAATACAATATTTGAGAAAATAGACTCTTGCTAAGAAAGCTGTTAGTAAAGTCCCATAAGAACTAAAATATAAAACACGATATATACGATCTATAGACAGACCTATATATGATATTTACCTTCAGAAAAAGCAGGATCATAAAACTTTAGATATTTTTCGTAAAGGATTTATTTTTTTTCTTTAAATCGATAATATAAATATAGTTTCAAAAAGATATTAGAAAAAAGAAATGACAAAGATATGAAAGTTTATTTTCAAACAGAATAAATAAAAACAAATTTTCTATTTCTTATCATTGAATTCAATATCAATTTATGACTAGATTAAGTTTCATATGGCACGATTACATGACTATAACTTCAAATAATAACATGTGATTATATTAATCTTATAAAATATTATTTTTAGTTCAACAGTTAACTTAAATACGAATAAAAATTCGTTTGAAATTGAAGTGAAAGATGATAATAATAAAGAACAAACTATTGATACATTAATAGAACCAACAATTGCAGTAAACATTGATGAACCTGTTAAATCATCTCCAACAATAGCAATACGTCTTGTAGGAATATTTTATATATTATTAGCAGCATTTATTTTTACAACTTCAATATTTATAGCAAAAGAATTAAAAGTAGATGTACTTGATGCATTAATTCCTTGCTATATATTACATAGTACAATATTGCTTATCTATACTAAATTAATAAAACATTATTTATTATATCAAAAATCAAAAAAACAAGAAATATTTTTTCTATTTATCAATGTTTTTTTCTCTACAACTGGTATTTTTACTTTTTATTTTGCTTATCGTTATTTACCATTGCCAGATTTAATAACAATACGTTATACACAAGTTATTTGGACAGCAATTATAATTACAATTCTCTATCGTGAAAAACCATCTATACCAATGATTGTAGCTATTTTATTAACAACTATTGGTGTAATATTTGTTGCTCAACCGAATTTTTTATTTAATAAAATATCAAATAAAGATAAAACAAGTATTTCAAATGATTATTATCAACGTTTAAAAGGTTTATTAATTGCATTATATTCTTCAATAGCATTATCAATAATGATAATATCAAATAAACATTTATTAACGAAATATAAAACAAAAAATAGTTTAATAATGTTGCAATATGCGATTGTAACATTATGTGTTTTAATCGGTAAAGTATTTTATAAATATAATTTTTTTATTGATGATATACAAGCATTTAAAAATGATTTTTTTAATTGGAAATATTTATGTGCTTCATTAATTTGTTTATTACATATACTTGCAATAGTATTAACACAAAAAGCAGTTAAACGTGAACATCCATCAATATTTACAATAGTTCAATCTAGTAATATATTATTCTCTATTTTATTACAAAATATATTTTCATCAATGAAATCAAATCTTTTATCAATAGTGGGTTCAATGCTTGTTTTAACAAGTATAGCAATAGTAACTGGATTAAAATTTTTTAATGAAAAAAAGCAAAACAAAAAATAGATTACAAATATATTCTACTGAATAGGTCTCTTTTTTTTTGTGTATCCGTAGGATTTAAATAGAATAGAATATTTGATTTTTCAATAAATTATTGAATAGTATTTAATTTCTTGCTAGATGTAAACTAGAGATATGAAGAATTGGAATATATTCACAAAATGATATAATTAACAGTACGATAGACTAGAAAAAAACAATAATCAAATGATAATAAGTCATAGGAGTCATACCTGTGGAATACAAATTACGTGAAATGAAAGTAAATTAGAATGATTTATTGATTATTCTTTTTCATTATGGTTTGAAGATGCATTAAATTTTCCATCTGAGCAGGAAAAATTACCAAACAAAAAAAAAAATAACACTGAAAATTTTAATAGATCATCCATCAATTAAGCTTACTATTTTTTTCTCATTAGAATATAGAGTATCGGTATTATTCTGACAAGAAGAAAGCAAGACAAAGGTTTATCAACTCCTTAGTGAACTTTCATTGAATGGAAAATCTTAACAGATTGACCTCTAACTTTGCATCATCATGTTGATTTTGGTGCGATATTCAATTGCAAAATTTATAGACAATCATGTTCAGCTGCAGCGAAAAGTTCTGGCTCGATTTTTTGAATTATTACTATATTACTAGCCTCTAAATAGTAATAGAAAGTTTTTCTCTATAGAAATGATTTCAGATAAGAAGCAACCACAATTCTAGAAAAAGTTGATGGACAGAACATAGCTATAGATACTAAGGATTCAGCTGATCCATAAGATCGTTCTTTTTCAAAGTTATGAAACTCAGAAAAAAATACGTGTTGTCCTGCTGGCCTACATTCTTGATCGAGGTTGTGGGTATTGATGGAATCAATTTAATCAATCGCCGTACTAACGAAAACTATTCATATTTTATTTTTCGACAAACTTTTGAAACATTTTGTGTTGTAGACGAGAAGCACATCATGATTGATTTTTTTAATTTCTTCGAAATTCTTTTTAAACAATATTGCATTGGAATGATTTGACTTTAAAAATTTGTTAGCTGACTGAATATCAGATTCAACATATTTTATGGCCTCATTGTATTGTTTGAAATCGTTCAATATCGTTGACATATTGTAATAAGCCATAGTTAAAGTGTAATGATTTGAATGAGAAGCTTTTTCTTCAATATCTAATGCGTTCTTATAGAATATAAGCGCGTTTGAATAATCTCTCATTTTTTGATATACGCCACCGATGATACTACATATCGAGATGATCAATGAATAGTTCGTAGGCAATGAAATTTGACGTATTTTCATTGCTGTGCAAATATTATCAAGTCCATTTTCTCATTCCTTCATTGATATTGGGACAAGACCAATATTGTTGTAGACAGTGGCTAATCAAGGATGATTTGGTGAAAGTGAGTTTTCACAGATTTTACGTGTCTTTTCGTAATATGAAAGAGCCGTTGGATAGTCTTTTCGTTCATAACATACGAGACCGATATTGTTATAGGTGGTTGTCAAATCGGGATGATTACTATTGAGACGATTTTCTTGTATGGCACAAGCTTTTTTGTGATATTCCAATGCATGAGAGTTGTCGTTCAAGGTTGTATGCAGACGACCAATAT